TGTGAGGCCCACTGATACAGAACACAAGGTTCTTATGCCAGGAGTAAATGACTGTGCCTCTAGCCTGTCAGCTTCTTGGCCATCAGGCTAAGAGACAGGAGTTGGTGAATCCTTATAGAACCTTGAGAACCAAGTTGTTTTATTGAGATTTGTTCTAGAAGATCAATGTCAAGGGATTCTACAATGCCCACAGTGAACATGTAGTCCAGGTATTGTTGAATAGAAAACGTGAGCACACACGTGGAGGCATCTCTCGAGGCAGGTGGTATCAGATCATTGAATCCAGGACTTGGATCACAAAGAATCACATGGAGCAGAAGGCCTGGCTCCAGAACAGCCGTGCTTGGTGGCTGTGAGTGGGTGGGCCATGCCAGCAGGCACCCTGCTGAGGCAGCAATTGTATATCTGTACAGGAAGGCTTTCTTTCTCCCATCCTCTGGCAGGCCCTGAGCTCAGGATTATCACTCCTGAGAAGAGTGTTTTGAGGACCCACCCCCCTCAGGGGACCTCTGTGTACCCATCCTGACTTCTACTTTCTTCTCGGGTCATATCGAAGCTTTGCAGTCCTGGCCTAGCAGCAGTGTGTCCCCCCAGTTACCAGCGTGCTTACCAATGCAGGGGTAGAGATGCTATTTCTCACAGTTTTCCTACACTTGGACCAGGAGGCCTAGTTATCGTGCTGTGAGTTAATTCCACCAAAGGAAATTGTTTCATGGTATATGTGTCCCTTGGGAGAGAAACAAGGGTCAGCATTATACTTGGAAATATTGGACGTCACAGGCTTCTGTTATGGCTCTAAGTCAATTACCAAGTGACAGCTCTTCTCTGCTAAGGACATTAGCAGACTAACTGAAATTGAGATGTCCGGGGCCACAGATGCCCAAATAACCAAGGTGCCTGAGGAATAGACAAAAACTGAAGTTTGTCATGGGGAACACTGTCTCAAATAAATCCTTCGACTGAAATAATTTTGCAAGTAGAGTTCTTTCCCAAATGAAGAAGCTATCAAGAATGGAGTTCTTAGCAAACATTGCTTCTTTTAAGTTCCTTCATATAACTTCAGAGTGGTACCAGACCATTTGATGCTCTTCGGTTTTCATTATCCTTCAGCATATTTTTGTAAAGAAGCTACTGTGTGCCCAGCATTATGCTAGGCACTGGGAATAAAGAGACATGAGCCCTGCCCTCCAAAACTTCTCATCTAGTGGAGAGAGAGGCTTCACACAGAGAACTGTAGTACAAATGTGGTTAGTCATGATCACTTATCAGACAGAATACCTGCCACGTGTATGGCTCTGTGGAGAACTCTGGGGATACAAAAAGATATAAGACATAGTCTCTGCTCTCTGGAAGTTTATAGCGTAATCAAGAAGATAGGAACAGAACTTGAAAAATGCCGAGTGACAGAACATTATAGGCTATAGTAAAACATCTATGACTAGCAGATGAGTAAGATTGATTCTGTGTGGGAGTCACAGGAAGCCACATATCAAGCCATGTTCTTAAATCCAGCTTAACTGGTAATAAAAGTGACGTTTGCTCTACCTTCTGACTCCTCTAAGTATGTTTTAATTGGTTCTAAACTTGGAGAGAGGCAATAGTTACTTGCCATAACCCACACAACAACCAGAGGAGACTGACCAAAACAAGCCTTTTGTACTTTATTGTTTTCCCATCTAATATGACATTTGCTAACCCTGACAACCTTGTAAGATAGGCATCATTTTTTATCACCGTGTTACCATTAAGGAAGGAGTCTCTGGGTGGCACAAATGGTTAAGCACTCGGCTGCTAACTGAAAGGTTGGCAGTTTGAATCCACCCAGGGGCACCTCAGAAGAAAGGTCTGGTGATCTACTTATGAAAGATCACAGCCACTAAAAACACTGTAGAGCACAGTTCTACTCTGAAACACATGAGGTCATCATGAGTTAGAATTAACTTGATAACAACTGTTGTGTGTGTGGAGGTGTGTGTGTGTGTGTGTGTGTGTGTGTGGTACTGTTAAGGAAATGGAAATCCAAAGAAGCCAAGTGGTGTACCCAAGATCCTAGAACTAGGAACTTGGACCCAGGTCATCTGACTCCAGGTCCAATATTTTCTCCAGAATTCTACCAAAACCCATTGCCGTCAAGTCAATTCCAACTCATAGCGATCCTACTGAAGAAAACAAACCCATTGCCGTCGAGTGGATTCTAACTCATTGCGACCCTATAGGACAGAGTAGAACTGCCCCATAGGGTTTCCCAGGAATGGCTGGTGGATTCAAACTGCCAGTCTTTTGGTTGGCAGCCAAGCTCTTAACCACTGCACCACCAAGGCTCAGCCTCCCATATTTCAACCAAGTCACAGTACTTGTACTGGGGAAACTGTGTGACCTGCTAAAGACTATTGTCCCTTCTGATTATGTGTTTCTTCTTGGGATTTTTGCAACTTCAGCCAGTGCATTTCTCCAGCCTCTCCCTTGCAATATGCCTTTTCTTGTTTTAGCAGCTTTGATGATTCGTCTTTTCATTACCCCCCAGCCCCCACCCACCAGGTCTGTTTAAATAAATAAACAGTAGCAGGATAGAGGTGTTGGCTCCCAAGTCAAATACTGGCTGGGTAATATTTGGGGAAAGAAATGTAACCCGTTGAAGCATTGGACCATTCCTTTTATAAGCTGGTGAATCTGTCACTCATTTAGACTCATTATTTTTTAGTTAGCACGCTCTGGTTATGCCATCCTTATGCCTGTATTTTTAGAAGTCTTAGATTATTATAGCAACTGTGAAAATGGATGGGAAAAGAAATCTGGCTCCCCATATACATCCTGCTTAATTGTTTCTTGAATTAACTTTATTTTCATCTAACCCTCAGAGAATATTGCACCCACCCCTGCTGCTAATTGAAATCTGCTAGCCTTGGGTGGCTGCTGACAGGGCTACCAGAAGATGAGAGATGTAACAGGGTGCTGGCGATCCTCCTCCTCATCCAGTTGTTTATTCTGGGTGCCAGCTGGACCTGTGAGGGGAGAGGTGGGGAAGGCCAGCGAGGAAGCGTGTATAACTGTGACATCTCCTTCACAGTGCCAAATGAAACATGAACAGTTTGTGTTGAGTCTGATATTCTAGTCACGGCATTTACGCCTCATTCAAGCTGATGTAACAAGAAGAAGAAACAGTAATGAGACAGTCTCACTGTGTGTCAGAGGGTGACAAGGAATTGAGGAAGTGTATGAACAGCAAACTAGTGGGCTGCATCAGAGCAGTAAGGGCAAGGAATGTTAACCCTTAAACTGTTTCTTTCACGCTGTGGTTAATTTTAGAAAAGCTTTGAGGTAGCAAGAAAAAAACTACAGTAGGGAATACTTTGAGCCATATGAAGGATATAAGCTGATGTTTTACTGCCACCTCCTGAGTCCCACAGCAGTCTTCCCTCCCCAAGATGCCCCGCTGCTATCTCTCAGGTCCTGCTGTCTCCTCCCACCTCTGCTAGGGCAGGCGTAAATGTATCTGAGACCTCACCTCGGACTTCTGCCTCCGTTTCTCTACCTGGCACTCCAGTTTTCTGTGGACATTAGAACCCTACCATAAATTCATCTCTGGATGGCTACTGAGCCCCTGCCAGTGCCTTCCCTCAGCCCCTTAGCACACTGGATTTGGTTTTCCATAAGTCCTCAGCACTGAAGGCCTGCCCTCAACAGGCTGGTCAGCCAGACTGTGACAGGGAAGCAGACTTGGCCTCGAGTCTTTGGGTATTGCCTAAACTCAGGCTCCACAACTAAGCCCTCATTACCTGCCCAGATTAAGGCCAAATATTCCACATCCTTTTGCACAGCATAAGTTGGATTTCTCAAGTTGTCGGTGGCAACGTTGTCCATAGCCTGGTTAGTTTTCTCCAGCTCCCTCTCCTGCTGGGTCCTGGCTGCTCTTTCACATCATCACTGGTTCATTGCCAAGGAACTAGTGTGCCTTGCTAGCATGCCCACCTAACACAGGTCATTTTTCCTTCAATGTTTACAGTGTTTCAAGAGACAAATGGAAGATATGGCCATGGGACCAGTAAAAAAATCTTAAGGCTGTCTTGAATTTTGTTTTATTTCCCCAGGGTGAGGATGATATGGTACAATGAGGCAAGAGGAGGTGATAAAATATTTTGAAGAAGTTGAGGTCCCCAGAGTAAAAAAGAATTAAGCAATGAAGATAGAGTGGTACAAGAAATTAGAAAAGGAGTCATAGTTGAGTCCAGAATTAGAATGAAGATATGAGGAGATAAGGTCAGGGTGGTGGAAGGTCAGAGGAGATAAGAGAGAAAGAGGAAGAAAAACAGGAAACAGAAAGAAAATTAGAGTTGAGAAGATGGAGAATTATTTTTAGCCACACCTACTGCTATAGTTAGAGATCATAATGGTGGAGACAGTTTTAAATCTTTATATTTTATTTGCTATTCAATTACAATTTTCAGAGAGTAAAAGTTTCCAAAACCCCAGCATATAGTAGTCTGAAAATTCCAGTGGTTTGGCCTCTGATGATTTGCACATATCCTGCAAAATCCTATTGATTAACCACTGAGACTGTCTCTGCTAACTGCATAAGTTAACTGTTGGGGTGAATTTTGACAGAGGAGGCAAGAGAGCAAGTATATCAAAATCCAAACATGTTGTAAGAAATGGAAGAGCAAGAAATACAAAAAGCCTCAGGTGAACCAAATGGGCAGAAGGCCACCATCTCAGTAACAAAGTTTGTTAAATTTGCTGATTGTAAAAGCCAAAGCACTACAGTACAATGGATCTGCCCATTGTATGGAATTATTTATCAGAAAAAGTAACATCAAGGAAGCAGCCAGACCTTAAGGATGTGTTTGCAAGTTCATCAGACACTCCTATAATAGCATCATCTTCAACCATGGAGTCTTCATTATATTTTGGAATTTGGGAGATGTTTATTGTGGAAATTCTATTGAATAGTAAATGAAATATAATGGTTTAAAATGTCTACATCATTGTGATCTCTAATGGCAAGGGTGGGGATGGCTTAAAAATTTCTACATCTTTTTACCTCTAATTTTCTTTGCCTCTCATTTTTCTTCCTCTTTCGCTCTCATCTTTCAAAACAGAATTCTTTGGCATTGAGCCAGTTGCTTAAATATCATATAGTGTATGCCTGGAACAAGAGTCCCTTGGGTTTTGTTCTGTTTCTCTGTTAGTTTGTTTTTTCTTCATTTGAGGTCTGGTCTTTGACTTATATAGTTCTACTTGATATCTGGTGCGCTAATGATCCTACCTGGGATTTCGGCCAGTCCATAGCCAGCCATTCTGTTATCCAAAGGGGCACTGAAAAAGAGATTGGTAAACAAAGATACGAATTAATTTCATTCATTCATTCATTCATTCATTCAACAAATATTTTAGTGCCACTGTGTGTCAGGCCCTGTGCTAGATCCTGGATATCCCTTAAACAAACAAAAAACTTGAACTCCTGGAGAAGGTCAGCTTTAAAAAATTAATCCTTTTTCAAAGTAAATTTACTATGAAGGCACTGTAGAGGATATAATGTATAAAGATAGGGTCTCTTAAAAACAGGTTCATACAATCAACCAACAGATATTCATTGTTTTAGTCAGTCAGTATAGACCAACTTCTATAACAAATAATCTCAAAAAATGACTTCATCCAAATTTATTTATTGCTTACACAAAATTCCAAAGTAGATATTTCTGGTTGAGTAGCTTTCCTCCAAGGTGTGATCAGGCTTCTTCCATCTCAGTGCTTGCCTCCAAGATCATCTTGGAAGTGGAAGAGAGTATGGGGAAGACACGTGGAAGTGATACACATAAATTTCTTCTCTCAGTCCATTGGCTAGATTTAGTCACATGACCCCCCATCTAGATGCAGCAGGCCTGGGAAATGTTGTGTATGGCTGGACTGTCCCTTCCCAGTAACAAATCTATACTATGGGAGAGAAACATGAATCTTGGTAATCAACTAGTCATCTCTATGTTCTTGACTCTAAGGTTAAAACTCTACTCTACATGGAAGGATAATTAATGAAGCAAGATAGTCTTCCAAGCATTCAATTCTCTTGACAGCCTGTAGTATAGAGTAAAAATAGAAGCAATAGGCATGTTTCTTAGAAATTACTAGTTCTCCACACTGTTGTCATGGAACTCCTCCAGAACTGCTTCACTAATAGTTTTCTGTTATGGAGCTCTGTTATCATCACTGGTTGGCATGGATGCCCTTGAAATAAGTGAATAAGTGACCAGAAGCACATTAATTTCAAGTTTTGATAGAATCGGGGGGGGGGGGGTTAATACTGCCATTCACAAATGAAAAGAATAAAAGGAAGGAAAAGGAAAGCATGATTCCTTTCAACCTCCTGCTATGGTAGTATTAAAAGAGTTGAAAAAGTCTGGGAATGTGATATTAATGAAAACAGGATCACCATGTAAGGTGTCAAAGAGAAAAATTAATAACAGGCATCTTACTTGGATTTTAAGGGTTTTTTTCTTATCCCCAAAACCAAATTTTTAGCTGCCAGTCCAGAGACCACCTGGTAACGTGATAGTTGATCTCAGTAAAAGTGGGAGGGCAGAGTTCAATCAATCATGTTAAAATTAGCCAATGGTTGATTTTGTATTCTTCTCCCTTCTCTTCTCTTTGTAAGCCTCATTATAACTAAGCCTACTTTGAGCCATTTGCTTTTTATTTGGAATCAGAATGGTCTCCCTATATGCATATAGAATAACTACTCAGAATAAACCTGTATTTCAATTTGAGTTTTGATTATTTTTTAACAAAGGTTATACAGGTTACAAGGAGCCCTGGTGGAACAGTGGTTAAAGTGATCGACTGCTAACCGAAAAGTTGGCAGTTTGAAACTACCAGCAGCTCCACGGGAGAAAGATGTGGCAGTCTGCTTCCATAGAGATTTACAGCCTTGGAAACCCTATGGGATTTCTATGAGTCGGAATAGACTCAATGACGTGGGTTTGTGTTTAGACAGGTTGCACACTGCACAACTTTAGGGGTACCATTCACATTGTAGTCTGTGTGAATAGTACCCACCTGCAGTTATGTGACTCATCTACAGAGGAAATGAATAGAAATATTAGCGATGGAGTAGTAAAAAAAAAAAAATTGCATTTTTACCACAGTTCCTGATGCTGTAGCCAGGCCCAGCTGATAACTTGTCTTTTGGGTTTTGCCGATTTAAGTTCTGATCAAGTTTTACTTTGAAACAGTATGTAAGGAAGCCTGTCTTGTTTCATAAGCCGATATGTCATGTTTCTGTAGAAAAATAGAGAGGAAAAATAGAAAGAAGAGAGTTGAGAGTATAATGAAAAGTGGAGAAACAAAAGAAGGTGGAAGGGTCAAGGAGCTATGGCATTTTGAGAACTAAATGAGTCGATGGAGAGACCTCTCTGAGCCTCTGCTCCCTTATCTATAAAACAGGAGGCTTAGACTAGGAGGTCTCTGACATCCATTCCTGCATATAGTGTTCAAAGAAACATAGAATGTACAGCAGCCTAATCCAGGAGTTACTATTTTACCCAAGAAATGTCCCATAAAACAAGAATAGTTCTGTGGCAGAAACATTTGTCTGAGAACCAGAAAAGCTAGATTCTAATCCTGGCTTGGCTACTAATTTATGTTGATCATGTCACTTTTCTGAGCCTTAGTTTACCCATTTATAAAGAGTTTAAGTTTATCCAGCTATAAAAAGAACATCAAGTGATCTGTAGGGCTGTTCCTGCTCTTAATATTTTCTGATTCTAGAATTTTAAAATGGGTGGATGTTTTTGCCTTTAAAAAAAGAAAAGATCCTGAGTGTCCTTATATCTGCACCTTGGAGTCAGGTAACATGAGAAAAGCTATTACGTTTCAATAAAAAGAAACATCAATAAAGTCAGCCTGTGATCTTTTCAAGTCAGTCCATCCCAGGTATTACTTCTTATTAAGCATTTATTAACCTTTTTAGGTATGATCAGATCTGTACATAAAACTGAAATGCATGCCACCCTTTCTGACAAACTTTTTAGATTCTAAGTCTGTCTGTAGGAAGATTTCTTATTGCCAGTGGTCTATTTCACCTGTTTTTATGGTTTCACAAGCTTCCCTTGGTTGACTCATAGTCATCTTCAAAAATGTGTACTGAGCATCTGTGCATAGTGCACCGTTACAGTAATTATGAATTTAAAGAAAATAAAAGGTAATAAGCCTGATTTCACAGAGCTTCTGGTTAATTCCAGTAGGTGTGGGAAGTAGCTAATTGGAACCGTAATTTTAAAGACTAAAGTGTTAACCTGGCTGCTGCACTGTTAGGGGTCTTAAATATGTCAAATAAAGGAACACATGTCATATTCCTATAGAGGAACATATAGAAGGTATTCAGTGTTGAATGAACACACCTAGGAAAGATCCACCTGTCTGCAACAAGGGCAGCCAGTGAGCAGACCTGTCAGTCACTGTCATAACTCTTCGCGGAGAAAAAATAGTAGCAACAAAGGCCTCCGTTGAGAATTTGTAACCTTAAACCTGCCCTCTTGTATTTCTGGTTTTGAATTTATGTAACGTACGCAGTATGGGTAGCTCCAAGAAGAGATATAAATTAAAGTAGTTCCAGTGCATAGCACCTCCTGGGGCCCAGCCAAAACAAATGGAAATTATCTTTTAGGAAAAGTGTCCTAAACCAAGGCAGCTTAAGATACCCACAGATTAATTTTAGCCAAACATGAGCACTCAGAAAGTTACCAGATATATAAGGAAACAAGCTATGATAATCATTGTTGTGTGCTGTTGCGTTGATTCCAGTAGCGACCCTATAGGACAGAGTAGAACTGCCCCGTAAGGTTCCCAAAGCTGTAATCTTTAGAAAAGCAGATCGCTGGGTCTTTTCTCCCATGGAGTGGCTGATGGGTTTTAACTACTGACCTTTTGATTAGCAGCAGAGCACTTAACTATTGCACCACCTGGGCTCCTTGCTATGATAAGCAAGAGTCAGCAAAAGAGAGAGAGAGACTTACAGACAGAAAGATTGATTGATTGATTTAGACCATCAGGAACTTCAGATGTTGGAATTATCAGACACAGAATATAAACTAACTGGTGTTCTTGTAATCTATTGATGTCTAATAAATTATCCCCCAGAATTTAGTGGCAAAAAACAACAATTTTTTATGTTTATGGCTTCTGTGGTTTAGGAACTCAGGGCACAGAAAGGATGGTTTGTCTCTGCTGATAGAAAATAACTATCAACTTATAATTATGGATCCAATGAAACTATCTTTAAAGCATACGGGCAAAGTAAAGACATTTTCACATTAGAAAAAAAAAAACATTTTCACTAAGAGACCTTCATTTATAGAACTTGTAAAAGATAAGATTCAGGAAGAGGAACATTTTCTCAGAAGGAAGATCTTAAATGTAAGAAGGAATGGTCAGCAAAGAAGTTGGTAAACATAAACATGAGAATCAATCCAGACAAACATTTTCGTTATTAAACAATTAATAATGTCTAATTTGTGAGATTAAAAAAGCAAACAAGACCAAAGAAATATGCTGGAAAATAATAGCATTTAAGTTGGGAGGTACTGAACAAAAAGTGTTCTAAATTTGTTATAGCACTTGTAAGGATGGTAAATATAGCAACTAGCTTAAACATTGTCAAGTAGTCATGGCAAAATTTCAAGGGAATCATTAAAAGAATAGAAATATAATTCATAACTTCCCAATCATTAGAGCAAAGTTATTAGCATAATAAAAAAATTTAGTCCAAAGGAAGACAATAAAGGGGAAAAAATGGACGTAAAGGAAGTTGGATACATAGACAAGGTAGAAATAAATCCAAGTATCAGTAAGCACAATAAATGTAAATGGATGAGACTAACCAGTTAAGTGCTCCGCAGCTCACTTTATGAGATTACTATAACCTTAATATAAAAGCCAGAATAGGACAACACAAGAAAGGAAAATTACAGGGTCAGTCTTACCCACGAACATAGTTATAAAGTCATGGCTGCTTGGGAGGGATAGAGATTATGAAAGCAAAAAGGATACAGCACCTGCACCCATCACCGCTGATGTCACAATGCCTGCAAGAACACACTGTGCCACCTTCTGGTTTGCTTCTTCGGTAGAGGCTGGCAGGAGGCCTTTATTGATATCAGCTTATTTGAGGTTGCCTGTTAATATTCATGACCTGAGGCCGCTGCACAGCGCCAGTGTTATATAACAGCACCTTATTTACGAATCAAGATGTCACAGTCTGATGAGTAATGACGTGCTTGTGGGAGTTGCTGAAAGATTAACTATAGAATCTTAACGAATCTAAGAATTGCAGGAGATAAGGCACCATCATAAAGAATTTATCAAAGTGATTCATCTGTGTTGCTGTGGACAGATTACCTTCTTACACTGTCTCTGAAACTTTATAGCCAGCCTCTGAGTAGTTACAAATGTATTATTAATAATCCTAAGAAAAGCAGTACATTGTTGCATGGTTTAAGCATTGCTCGTGTCCAGAAATTTTGAAGAGACAAACCTGACTTTATAATATCACTGTCTCTTGAAATTTGATTCTCTTAAAACAAAATCTAACAAGGAATTGTGTTTCTCTTTGAATCCAGCAAATCTACCAGCCATCTATTGGTGAATTAGATTAAAATTAAAAATTTAGGTTTATCTACCTCCCTTATCCTGTCTCTGAGAGCTCTTACTGAGTAAAGGGCAAATGAAATGGGATGAAGGTCCCTGATAGGATCAGGTTGTGTATCTGAACTAGGGAAAGTAGGTGCTGCCTGGTTTTAAAGTCGACTGATTCCCTGTGATGAGGAAGACAAGTGCAAGGACTTTTCTTCCAGGCAGTGACCTACTTCTGAGTGCACATGAAACTGAGCTGTGCCTGTTGAGAAGAGGTCAGAGGCCCAGACAATTTTTGGAAGAGGAAAGGATCCTCCCAATATGACAGGCTCTAAGAGAAGTTAATAGTAGTATTAACTGATCTTCCTTGTAGATGTATCCTATCACTGACAGCATTGTGTACTTTAGGATAGATCTTGAAATGTTCTTTTTGACAATGAATGCAACGACATTTCTCTTCAATTTATCATTCCCGACATAGTAGACCATATGATTGTCTGATACAAAATGGCCAACACCATTCCATCTCAGCTTGCTAATGCCTAGGATATCGATCTTTGTGTGTTCCATTTCATTTTTGACAACTTCCAATTTTCCTAGATTCATACTTCATACATTCCACGTTCCTAGTATTAATGGATGTTTGCAACTCTTTCTTCTCATTTTGAGTCATGCTACATCAGCAAATGAAGGTCCCGAAAGTGTTACTTCATCCACATCATTAAGGTCATCTCTACTTTGAGGAGGCAGCTCTTCCCAAGTCATATTTTGAGTGCCTTCCAACCTGAGGGGTTCATCTTCCAGCACTATATCAGACAATGTTTCACTGTTATTCATAAGGTTTTCACTGGCCAATTTTTTTAGACGTAGACTGCCAAGTCCATCTTCCTAGTCTTAGTCTGGAAACTCCACTGAAACCTGTCTACCATGGGTGACCCTGCTGGTATTTGAATACCAGTAGCATAGTTTCCAGCATCACAGCAACATACAAGCCACCACAATACAACAAAATCACAGACAAGTGGTATGGCTGGTTAATATGACTATTATTCAAATTTATGCACCAGCTGCTAGTGCCAAAGATGAAGAAATTGAAGATTTTTACCAACTTCAGCAGTCTGAAATTGATCAAACATGCAATCAAGATGCATTGATAATTACTGGTGATTGGAATGTAAAAGTTGGAAACAAAAAGGAAGGATCAGTAGTTGGAAAATATGGACTTGGTAATAGAAATGACTCCAGAGATTGCATGATAAAATCTTGCAAGACCAATGGCTTCCTCATTGCAAATACCGTTTTTCAACAACATAAATGGTTACTATACACATGGACCTCGCAAGATGGAATACACAGAAATCAAATCGACTACATCTATGGAAAGAGACAATAGAGAAGCTCAGTATCTTCAGCCAGAACAAGGCCAGGGGCTGACTGCCAAACAGACCATCAATTGCTCATATGGAAATTCAAGTTGAAGATGAAGAAAGTTAAAATAAGTCCATGAGAGCTCAAGTATGACCATGAATGTACCCCACCTGAATTTAGAGACCATCTCAAGAATAGATTTGATGCATTGAACTCTAATGACCAAGGACCTGATGAGTTGTGGGATGACATCAAGGACATCATAGATGAAAGCAAAAGGTCATTAAAAAGACAGGAAAAAAGAAAAGAGCCAAATGGATGTCAGAAGAAATTCTGAAACTTACTCTTCAGCATAGAGTAGCTAAAACGAATGGAAGAAATGATGAAATAAAAGAGCTGAGCAGAAGATTTCAAAGGGCAACTTGAAAAGAGAAAGTAAAGTATTATAATGAAATGTACAAAGACCTAGAGTTAGGAAACCAAAAGGGAAGAACACACTCAGCATTTCTCAAGCTGAAAGAACGAAGAAAAAATTCAAGCCTCAAGTTGCAATATTGAGGGATTATATGGGCAAAATATTGAACGACACAGGGAACATCAAAAGCAGATTGAAGGAATACACAGAATCACTGTACCAAAAAGAATTGGTCAACTTTTAACCATTTCAGGAAGCAGCATATGATCAAGAACTGATTGTATTGAAGGAAGATGTCCAAGCTGCACTGAAAGGATTGGTGAAAAAGAAGGCTCCAGGAATTGACCGAATACCAATTGAGATGCTTCAACAAATGGTTGCAGTTCTGGAAGTGCTCATTTGTCTATGCCAAGAAATTTGGAAGACAGCTACCTGACCACCCGACTGGAAGAGATCCATATATGTGCCCATTCCAGAGAAAGGTGATCCAACAGAATGCAGAAATTATCAAACAATATCATTACTATCAGACACAAGTGAAATTTTGCTGAGATAATTCAAATACAGTAGCAGCAGTACATCGACCGGAAAGTGCCAGAAATTCAAGACAAATTCAGAAGAGGACATGGAACGAGGGATATCACTGCTGATGTCAGGTGGGTCTCGGCTGAAAGTAGAGAATACCAGAAAGATGTTTACCTGTGTTTTATTGACTATGCAAAGGCATTGGACTTCATGAATCATAACAAATTATGGACAACGTTTCAAAGAATGAGAATTCCAGAGCACTTAATTGTGCTCATGTGAAACCTGTACATAGACCAAGAGGCAACTGTTCGAACAGAATAAAGGGATACTGTGTGGTTTAAAATCAGGAAAGGTGTGTGTCACAGTTGTATCCTTTCACCTTGCTTATTCAATCTGTATGCGAGCAAATAATATGAGAAGCTGGACTATATGAAGAAGAACGGGGCATGAGGATTGATGGAAGACTCATTAACAACCTGTGATATGCAGATGACACAACCTTGCCTGCTGAAAGTAAAGAGGACTTGAAGCACTTACTGATGAAGATCATAGATGACAGCCTTCAGTATGGATTACACTTCAATGTAAAGAAAACAAAAAGCCTCACAATTGAACCAATAAGTAACATCATGATAAACAGAGAAAATATTGAAGTTGCCAAGGATTTCATTTTAATTGGATCCACAATCAATGCCCGTGGAAGCGGCAGTCAAGAAGTCAAACATATTGCATTGGGCAAATCTGCTGCAAAAGACCTCTTTCAAGTGTTAAAAGCAAAGATGTCATTTTGAGGACTAAGGTGCACCTGACCCAAGCCATGGTGTTTTCAATCACCTCATATGCATGTGAAAGCTGGACAATGAATAAGGAAGACCAAAGAATTGATGCCTTTGAGTTGTGGTGTTGGCAAAGAATATTGAATATACCATGAACAGCCAGAAGAACAAACAAATCTATCTTGGAAGAAGTACAGCCAAAATACTCCTTAGAAGCAAGGATGGCAAGACTTTGTCTCATGTGCTTTGGACATGTTATCAGGAGGGATCAGTCCCTGGAGAAGGACATCATGCTTGGTAAAGTAGAGGGTCAGCAAAAAAGAGGAAGACCCTCAACAAGATGAATTGACAGTGTGGCTTTGAGAATTGATGCCTTTGAGTTGCGGCGTTGGCGAATTGATATTGTGGTGTCGGAGAATTGATGCCTTTGAGTTGTGGTGTTGGCGAAGAATACTGAATATACCGTGAACAGCCAGAAGAATAAACAAATGTATCTTGGAAGAAGTACAGCCAAAATGCTCCTTAGAAGCAAGGCTAGAAAGACCTCATCTCATGTACTTTGGACATGTTATCAGGAGGGATCATTCCCTGGAGAAGGACATCATGTCTTGGTAAATTAGAGGGTCAGCAAAAAAGAGGAAGACCCTCAACAAGATGAATTGACAGTGTGGCTGCAGCAGTGGGCTGTCTTAGTTAGCTACTGCTGCTATAACACAAGGAGGCTAGAAGTCCGAATTCAGGGTGCCAACTCAAGGGGAAGGCTTTCTCTCTCTGTCAGCTCTGGGAGAAGGTCCTTGTTATCAATCATCCCCAGTTGAGGAACTTCTCAGCACAGGGGTCCTGGGTCCAAAGGACGCACTATTCCCCTGGCTCTTGTTTCTTGGTAATTTAAGGTCCCTCTGTCTCTCTACTTGCTTCTCTCTTTTATATCTCAAAAGAGATTGATTTAAGACACAACCTAATCTTGTAAATTGCATCATGCCACGTTAATATAACTGCCTCTAATCCTGCCTCATTAACATCCTAGAGGTAGAATTTACAACACATAGGAAAATCACATCAGATAACAAAATGGTGGACAATCACACAATACTGGGAATCATGGCCTAGCCAGATTGACACACATTTTTGGGGGACACAGTTGAGTCCATAACAGGCTCAAACATAGCAATGATTTTGAGGATGGCACGGTACCAGGCAGTGTTTCATTCTGTTGTACGTAGGGTTGCGATGAATCAGAACTGACTGGACAGTACCTAACAACAATAACTACAGGAGGCATTGCTTTATATGTCTTGCTCAGGGACCTTGTGGAAAAGGTGATGGGTAGGACAGGATTCAGGTGTCCTTACTGTTGTTTCCATCAAACTGTGGGAAGGTAGGAAAGTATAGTGCATGGTTCTCCTAAACCTGGTTTGGAAGGCCATGTGGTAGGTCCAGTTCAAGAGAAGCTGACTGCTGGTCCCTGCTACCTCTCAGTAAAAGTGGATGGACCAGAGTGGACAGGAGTCCCTTATGTGTTTATATATCACATCCTCATCTCTGGGGCAGCCATGCCATCTCACCTCCCCAATCCCTACAGCTCGAGGAGACGGAGGTGCTTCTCCCAG